GTCGCTGCTTGCTGCTTCGTTAGAACGTAAGGTTTTTCTGGATCCTCTTCCTCCAGCGTCCTGCCCAAGACACTCACAACCGGTGCCAGCCAGTATCCCGCCGAAGACTTCGGATCTAAGTCGGCGCCGTGATCGCGATCTGGGCGACGTGCCCAATCAAGCCAAAGCCGCCGTTCAGCAGCTTCTCGGGCCAAATCGCGCACGGATAATGGCGACCCCGTGCGAAGATCGAGTTTGTCACCACGATCGGTTTGCCATTCGAAAGCGGACCGAGACACCCATCCCAAGTCACGAATAGCTAATAACATGGCCCCGCAAGGCCCTGCCACCTGCCCCCAAGGTTTAGCTTCACGGTAGATAATCCCAATCTGCCGAGCCCAGGCCCTCTGAAGCACGCCGTGTAATGAGCCGTCCCAGCAGAGAAGTGCCCACTGAAATATGGGATCTGACCAGGCCGAAACTTGAGGGTCCTGAGTGCCACTGCCCTGGAGAAACGTAGACAACCAAGCCGAGCCCTGTTTCCCAGGCTCATACCATGCGCCCCTGAGGGCACGACGCATAGCATGTACTAGAGATGGCGGAGCCCCGTGAACTCCAACTCCATAGGTTAGAGCGGCTGGAATCGCCTGCTTGGCAAACTTACCCAAGAGAGGACCTGCCTTTCGCATTCGCCGAAATCGAGCTTGACGACCTCTCATCTTTCCGATCCTAGTCTTGAGACGACCAAAACGAATCGGCCTCCCAGAAGCCACCTCCACTCCAAGGACCTCGAGCGCGTCGACGACCCGATAACCTAGCACGCCGATGCGACGACAAACCTGCCTGGCGACCTCCAGGTTAGAGCTGGTGACGGTCATTTTCCGCTTAGCGGCTCGAAGCTCGATGCCCTCTAGTGTAGAAGCTAGCTCCGATAACACGTCGCGCGCATGCTCGACAATGTGCCTGACCGCGGATACGACCTGGACAGTGATGTCATCCGCATATAAGTGCAGCGACCGATTCACATGACAAGTGACGGACCGCAAGGAATCGATGGGGGCGAGGAGGACAAGTTGCAGGATGAACATGGCCAGGCTGCAACCTGGCAGAATACCTCGCGACGCCCACACGGGGTCAGAGTAAGCACCTTCCCACCCGAGCCTGCGGCTCGCTCGCTCCATGCATCTGCAGAGCGAGACATAACAACGTGCCAGGGAAACCATGTCGGATACCTGCAACAACAATCAAATGCCAACCGATTCTATCGAAAGCCTTTTCCACATCAACTATTGAATGGAGGACCACTTCGTCGTCTGGCTGAGTTGGGGACTTGCGCTGGCTTTCCCCTTGCAATAAGACACGCGCGGCCACGTCGGTCGTGCATCTCCCAGAGCCCAGAGCGATATAATCTCTCCCAAGAGACGAAGCCCACTGACGAACGTAGCCGAGGCGAGCCTTGGCCCAAACGCGGTACAGCGAGACGAGTAACGCGATGGGCCTGTACCCCCCTGCGGGCTTCCCCAGGAGGACGACGTGGACGAACTGCATGGGGCTGGGCCAGAGAGACCACTGCTCACACAAGTAGAAGACGTAGCCTAACATAGACAGCGCCGAATGACTTAGTAGAGCCCAATGCCGAGGCCTGAACGCATCGGCCCCCGCAGCGGTCCTTGTCGGGAAACTCTTGGAGGCCCGTCGGAGCACAGCTAATCCCATGGGTGGCATCCTGGGCCCCACATCCCGTAAACGATCGAGCTCACCACGAAGCCCTTCAAGAGAGGCGGGCTCGTCGGCCCCGTCCCAGATGTCGGCCCAGAAGTCCCTTTGAACACTCACGACGTCGGAGGCGTGGCTGGACGGGCCGAGGGAGGTGTGCACCTGCGACAACTTCCAACCTTTCGGCTTGGTCCAGAGATGTACAGGACGAGACCGATGCCCGAGACAATCACGCAACCACTTCACGAAACCCTGGCCCCGCTGTTTACCACACTCCTGCTCAAAATTGCGTGCAAGTTTGGCAAGAGCCGCGGCCAAACTCCGCAGCAAATAAGCTTGATAGCAGCCGGCCTGACTGAAGATGCCGACCAAGTAAGATGACACTTCCAAAGCAAGCCCAGATGGGAGACAGCCTGCCAGACGTCGCATGCGGCCTCTCCCTGCCATCAAGTCGGTAATCTGCTGCCAGATAAAATGATGCCTACCTTGAGGCACGCAACCGAACTTCAAAATCACGCGCGCCACGTCCTCGATACGATGTTGCATCAAGCGCAGAGCCCGAGACGTGGAGGTACCTGCTGGCTTCTGGTGTGCCAAAGCTCCTCCAGCTGTCACATGATGATATTCAATGCACTCCCCACGGCCCATGTGGGCTGCAGGCTTATCAAGTTGAAAGGGGGGAACGAGTTCTCGCTCAGCGCCCTGGTAAAGGTGACGATACAAACCATCAAGACGCTGCTGACGACTACTGGCGTCACCTGGTCCAAGTCGAGCGTCGGCCTCCATCAGCTCCGTCCAAGAGAATTGCGGGTCACCAAGCTCGCCCAAGTCGTCGTCGGAGTCGCTATCGTCCAACTTCGGCTGCTTGACAGGCTTAGCAGGAAGGACTTTAGGCCCTCGAACTCGGACCACCTCCTGAGCCCTCGGCGTGGCGCCAAGAGATACGAACATGGGGTAGTGGGGGCGCGGAGCATAATCATGAACCCTACGCGGCTTACCCATCACCGACGCCATGCTGTCACTGGCCAGCCAGTTGTCAATGCAAGTGAAAGCCCCTGTCTTGGCGACTCGACGCGAGCCCTCATCCGCGACCATCAGATGACCGTCGACCTTGGATACAAAATCGGACTCGCTCAACTCGGTGGGGGAGATGTTCCAGTCGCCGCCCACGACGAACGGAGCACGGTAGAAGCGCAAGGCCTCGCCCAGCCGCTGAAGCCGTTCGAGGTTCTCATGGGCAAGGCCCATGCCTTGCTGCAAGTAAACTGATCCAGCCACAAAGCCACCACGAGGACCTCCATGGACATACAGAGCCACACACCACGACTTAATGAGCACATGATCTCTGCAGTGCGGAAGACTGTCCAAGAAGGTCACTCCGATGTGACTGCGAACGAAAAGCCCAACTCAAGCCATCATAGCTCCTGTTGGACCTGTGAAACAATCGGTGATGAAAGCTTTCCATCCGTTTTTAGCACACCACTCCTCAGCCAAACGACGATCGTCGCCACGAACTCGAACCTCCTGAGAAGCAACAAGGTGAGCACCAGCAGCGCCTTCTTCCAGAAAGGTACGCAGGCGCTGCCACCCATTAGCGTTATACGTGACAAAATTGAGCGATCGTCTCTGAGCCCGACGTGGCGCTCTGCGATGACCACTTGAAGGTAGATCCCCCGAAGGTCGGTACGACCCGCCACCCAAGTCGCGGGGCACAATTGATGACGAGCCGTGCGTGCCGACGGGACGTGGTCCCGAAGGTCGGTACGACTCACCACCGAGGGCCGCCGCAGTTGCAAGTGACGTGCCGTGCGTGCCGACGGGAGTAGAAGAAACTTGCGAAGTTGTAGCCGGCCTGCCCAGGGATGTCGATAGCCCCACGCCGCTCGAATCCCTTGCCTGCCCAAGCCGTGGAAGAGGCAGTTCGCTAAGAGGAGGGTCATCCAGAGAATGCACCGCCCCGTCGGACAGCCTCGGCATTGGAAAAAGAAATACCAAGTTAGGTGTTGTTCCCTTCCACCTCGTCGTCAAGATAAAGCTCACGATCCCATGCCGCGGGGTTGAGGCCTTGAGGGTTAGGTAGTGTTGCTGTCTGCTGAAGCAACTGGAACTGTTGCTGCAAAGATGCCACCATCGTCTCGGAGTTGCCTGCCAACAACGCTGCGGGCACTCCCTGAATGATAGTTTCGAGCCTGCCCATAGCTGCTTGGAACTCTGGCTGCTCGTGGCTGCTAGCACCAGCTCCTGTCTGAGAAAGAACCGCGGCACGGGCGACGTTGACCTCGGCCTGGATCTGGCCGAGCTCCACCACCACCGCGTCGTACGCCGCCTGCTTGTCGGCCAGCTGCTTCGTGAGCGAGTCGACGGCGGACTTGAGCTCCTCTGCCTCCTTCGACTTGGCGGTCTGGCGGTCGAGCGCGCGTCGAAGGAGGTCGTCTGGAGTGCGACGTGCCATCTCCTTGGCCTCTGCCACGCCCAGGTCGCGCTTGGCTTGCTGGATGAGGGCGGAGTCGTCGTCAAGGCCGAGCTTCTTGAGCGCTCCCAGCGCGCGGCGACACTTGGCCACCTCGTCAGAAGCTGAAGGCTCGGCGTTCCCCCCTGCAGCGTCGTCTGCCGATCCTGAAGGCGGCTTGGTTGACGACTGTCGAGGCCGAGAGGGGCGGCGCGACGATCGGTCGGGAGGTCCTGCAGGGTCAGGTTGGCCTGCTTTGTCCCGTCCACACATGTAGCACCGCAATGAATTAGCGAAGTTACGAGTGTAACCACACTGACGAGAAGCTGCGCACGACCAACGTGGTTCACGCGGGTCATCACGCGGTTGGCCACGGCCTCCTCGCCCTCCACCCATGGGCTGTGATCCGTGGTGAGATGCCAGCAACTGCTTTGCCGATTCAAGTCGAAGAAGATGACGCGCACGTGATCGAAGGCGCCGCTGCCGACGATGCCACGCTGGTGACCTGGACCGTGTAGCCGTCACTGTTGCCCTGCACTGTCCGCACCTGGGCAGACGCAGAGCAGGAAAGAGTCGCCCCTGCCGATCGCGCGCGCGGGCCGCGGGCACGGGGCTGGGCGCAGGGAAAACGCACCGCGGGGAAAAGTCTCCCACGTCCTAAGCCCACGCCTGAGCGAAGGGAGGGAGGGAGCGAGGGGAAAGGAGGGAGGGAGGAGGGAAGGAGCGAGGGGGAAGGGAGCGAAGGGAGGGAGGGAGGGAGCGAGGGTGGGAGGAGGGAGGGAGGGTGGAGCGAGGGAGCGAAGGGAGGGAGCGAGGGGGGCGAAGACAAGGCAGGGTGGGGATGGGGCGGGGGCACCGTGCTCAGGCCCCCGGCGCCGCCGACGCCAGCAAGGCGGGTGACCGAGGCGACGGCGACGCCAGCAAGGGCGCACCCCAAGGCCATCGCGCCTCTGGGGCGGGCGAGGGGCCCGAGCGAAGGCGTCGGGCGAGGCAGGAAGGCGAGCAGACGAAGCAGAGGGGGGAGGAGGGGGAGCAGGAGCAGGATGATAGGGGAGGAGGAGGCACCACCATGGCAAGCAGGTGCGCCGAGAGCGAGACGACTGGGACAGGCCAGACAATTGGGGCGAGACGAGCGAGCGCGGCACGAATCCCAGAAGAGAGGAGGGTAAGACACGAAGCAAAAGCCAGGCGAATTACCGAAGTCGAAGCCCACAGCAAACGTCATCATAACCAAAGAGAGAGGGCGAGGCTCGCCCCATCCACTCCCCCCGAGATCGGGTCCTTACCCAGCTCGAGGGCCCGAAGATACGCAGCATCCTTGCTGGATGCAAGACGCGAGCACTCACCCCAAAGCCGCGACCGAGGGGCCGACGCCTGGGCCCTGGCCCCGCAACGACGGCAGAATGCAAGGGTGAGCCCGGCAAGGATGACAACGTGACCCCGAGCGCTACCAGGCCCAACAGGGCCCTGAGCGGGTAGCGGGGAGTCGGGAGGGACGGCACCCCGAGCGACCCAAAACCCCCCTGCCGCTGGCCCCCAAGGGCCTCATCCCTCTTGGGGGGCGGCTCCCCCCTTAGACTCCCAGACCTCTTGGCAGGCATGAGTGGGGCGACAGGGGCAGCAACCCGAGGAGCCTTGAGGCGCGGGCCCCCGGAGGCCCCTTCACCGCCACCCGTACCCTCCCCCTCGCTCCTGGCCCGAGTCCTGCTCGGAGGGGAGGGCGGACGCGAAGGCCTGCACGCGTCCTCGAGGTCTCGATCGCGCTGCTCGTCATCGCTGCAAAGACATCCCCCGCTTGAACGCCAGGAGCCGCTCAGGGACCACGAAGACCGAGGAAGGATGCTCTGCACTAGGCTCGGGCTCCTGGAAAACCCCAACCTCGGCCACGGCGGGGCCGCCCTGAGCGGACGGGGAGGGGGTCGAGTCTCCAGCAGGCGCCAGGGGCACCTCGACGGGCGGCCCGGCGGCCACGACCCTCGGCGAAGAGCCAGGGCCCCACAGGGCCGCCGCCTCGGCCACCCCGCACGTGCGGAGACTGAGGGCCCTCGCGCCTCGGGCCGTGGCTGCGCAAACGGGGCAGCGACTGCACGACCACCTTTTTGCCTCGGCGGCTGAAGCGATGGCAGTGCTCAGGTGACGGCGGCGGAGCCGCCGCCTGCGGCGCTCGGGGGTCGCCGGGCCCATCGGCGCTGGCGGCTGCGCGCGGCCGCGCCTCCGCAGCTGGGCGGCCTCCCTGCTCGCGACGGTGGCGTCGGAGGTGTGCAGGGCGGCGCCTCGCCACCTCCAGCCTGTCGGCTGTAACCGCGCCTGCCCACAGGAGGTTGGACGCGGTGGCAATCCATGACGCCGTCTGCCGCAGGCGGTCCAGGGCGCCCGCGTGGTGCTGTACGATGCGCTTCGGCAAGTCATGGAGCCTGCGCCCGCGCTTCGCCGCCTGGTCCGCCAGATCGTTGCACCTGCGCTCCCAAGTGTCGCCCGTCTGGTGGCCGCGCACGTGCCTGAAGGTGAGGGGGGCAGACGCCTCCTCCGTAGGAGCCTCCATGCCGCCGTGGTCCTCGATGACAGGGAGGAGGAGGAGGAGGAGGAGGAGGAGCAGGAGGAGGAGGAGGAGGAGGAGGAGGAGGAGGAGAGGAGGAGGATGCCGAAGGAGGAGGAGGAAGAGGAGGAGGATGAGGACAAGGAGGTGGGGAGGGGCAGGGGATCACGGGGACGATGAGAAGGAGGAGGAGGAGGAGGAGGAGGAGGAGGAGGAGGAGCGGCGGCAGCAGCTCCTTCGAGGAGCGGGAGCAGGAGCAGGAGCGGGAGGAGACCGATGGGCTGCAGCGCAACATGGAGGGCCGGAGGTGGGATGGTGTCGTTTGTTTTTCGGTCGAGCTTGGGGGGCCTAACGCAACGCCCCACCCCCGCAATGTGCCTCTGGAGCCACCGCAGCGCCTGCGCAAACATCGGCCTTGTAGCAAGATTCGGTCGTAACGCCTACGCGCACCACAGCATGCTCGCGAGTAGCTCGCGTGATTGACACCACGGGACAGCGAGGATGGGGAAGACTGACCCTGCGAGAACCACAACAACCTTTCGAGCGCAGGTGCACTAAACAGTATGCTGGACCCTGCCAATACCAATAGCACGTGGGCAGAGCAACCTGCGAGTACGTACCGCAACAGCACGCGAGCGCCACAATGGCACCGCAACTACGCAAAGCAGGAAGATGGACTCTGTGGTATTCGCATTCGTTTGCGGGCACATCAGTGTTTGCGAATACCACAACGCGCCTGTGGGCACCGCAGTGTGCTCACGACCACCAGATTGCGAAGAAAGCCGGGCCCAGCCAGGACCCGAATACAACAGTTCTCGAGCGCCTCACGTGCGCGCAACAGCATGCTGGATGCCCCAACTGCCACGATAGCACGTGAACGGTGAGGAAAACGACGACTTGATATACACACGGTAAGAAAGCAACACAAACATGACAACAGCCACCACACGTATACCCTGCCAACCATTGGGCGCCACCACCCTTGCTGCTGCAGCCTCTCTCGGGCCAGAACGCCCCGCGCAGCAGGCAACCCGTGGCGTGCTGACACGGGGCTCGACGCGCAGACCGAAAACGTGTGCCTGGCGCGGCACGCCCACCGAACCGTGGGCCAACACGTGCCGAGCCAACGCGCGGCGTGGTCATGCGGACGTCCTGAACTTTCCAATCAGCGGCCGCCGAAGCGAATACGGATCCTCTTCTTCTTCCTCCTCCTGCCCCCTCCTCCTTTCCCCCCCACTTCCTCTTCGCGCGATGGACCATCTGATCTCCTGGGGCATCCTGCAACTTCCAGGTGCCTCCTGAGGATTCCTGAGGCCTCCTGGGGCCTGGCGAGGCCTCCCGGTGCCTCCTGAGGCCTCCTGGAGCCTCCTGTTGCCTCTCGCGGCCTCGTGGGGCTTCCTCGAAGTTCCGTGGACCTTTTCGGGCCTTCTCCTCCTCCTTCCTCCCCCTCCTCCTCCTCCTCCTCCTCCTCCTCCTCCTCCTCCTCCTCCTCCTCCTCCTCCTCCTCCTCCTCCTCCTCCTCCTCCTCCTCCTCCTCCTCCTCCTCCTCCTCCTCAGGGCATGTTGGGTCTTGTGGGGGGGCCTCTTGAGGTGCCCCCGGGGCCCCCTGCTGGGACTGCGCGGCGCCTCCTGGGGCCGCCTCGGGTCCCCGGCGGTCTTCCTGGGGCCTCCTGCGACCTCCTGGGCTCAAGTCGGGCCTGTCCCCCCCCCTACAAAGGGATTTTCGACGAAAAAAAAAGAAAAAAGACCAAACAAATAATCCAAAAAATAGCGGAGGGACTATTATGGGTGTATTTTCTGACCTTTTTGGGGCATGTTGGGGGTATTTTCTTTTTGTTCGTCGAAGATCCCCCTGTAGGGGGACAAGCCCGACACAATCCTGGATTTCCTTTGGGACCTCCCTGGGGCATCCTTGGCCGTCGAGGACCAGCCGGAGGAGAGCCCGCTCCAGGGAGCGGCTCCCTGCGTTGCTGTGCGAAGTGCCTTCCCCTGGCCGTCCTGGCGGGCCCTCCAAAAAAACACCCGGGGCCATAGAAACGACGACGGGTTCGAAGACGATGGGAACCTTCCCGTCGAAGAAGGAAGCCCGGTGAAAGTTCAACAAAAAACGAGTCCGCGGCGACTTGGGTCCAAGACGCGGGCGGGGCAGCGACCGACACACGGAAGCCAAATTGGGCACAACAGGGGTGAAGGGGCCCACAAACACACAAATAAATACACACGAATAAAATGATTCCCCATATTTTCCTATATTTTCTGGGTTTCTGTCTTCCCGCCCACTTCCCATATTTTCCCATATTTTCTGGGGAATCGACGATTCATTGTGTCTGTGTGTTTCTTTCCCTCCTGAAGGGGGTGGACCAGGCGCGGAGGAGGGAGGAAGCCGCGGGTGGCGGAGCACGCACAGGCCACGAAGATTTTTCGCACGCGCCTGCCCGAGCACAGGCTTACTCAAGGGACCCAAGGACACACAAATAAATACACACCAATAAAATAATTCCCCATATTTTCCATATTTTCTAGGTTTTTGCATTCCCGTCCAATTCCCATATTTTCCCATATTTTCCTGGGAGTCGACGATGAATTGTGTCTGTGTGTTTTTTCCCCTCCTGACTTACACGGGCAGCAGGCCAGGAGTGGCAAGGCGAACCTGCGTACAGCCAGGGCGTTGACCTAGGGAACCCTAAATAAGGAACGAGGCCCCCTTTTTTCCACGAGTTAACCTTCGATTTCCGGTCGAAAACATAAGGAAAGCCTGGGGCAAGCTGCGAAACACTTAGGGAACACGGAGCCCCTCCCCAACGAAAAGGGCTCCTTCTTCAGGGCCCCGACTGTACCAGGGCTCGGCAATTTCATGAAACGCTAGGCGTCGCAACTCCGGAGTGACCGCGCACACAAGTCATGCGAACGACAGCTCAGGTTGCAAGGGCAATACTGAGTTCCAGAAGGACGACCACACACGTCGCCAACGCGCAATCCAGGGGACAGAGAACAAACGAGCAACCCCGGGCAGCAAGCAAAGACGGGCCCCCGAGTCGTGCCAGAGGGCGGCCAGGGTCAGAGCAAGGCTGGTACCGGCCACAGGACGGACGGGCGGCGTCCAGGCCACACTGGCGCGGGGATGCGCAACGGACATGCCAGGAGGTGCGCACGACACAGAATGAGCGTGGCCGAAAGGGCATGACCCTCCAGGTCGTGGAGATCGCCGGTGCTGGCGCGGCCCTGCCCCGCGCAAGGCAGTAAGCCGGCGCCGGGCAGGGCCGCGCAGCGACGGTGCTGCGGGGGCGGTCACGCTCGCCATCGCTCGGACGCCCATTGCCCGTGCACTTGTCGGTTTCGTGTGTGCTTTCTGTTGCCAGATGGTCCAGGAAGCTCAACGATGGCCTCCGCCGAAGCAGATCACACATCCGAGCGATGCCAAGCACAAGGCCACTGGGGCCGCCAAGGCGGCTGGGCCATCTGCTTTTTCTCTTTCCCCCCGCGGGGGAGTCGGGCAGCTATCCCGCCGAACCGCTGGAGGGGGGCCGCCGTTCTTTGCCGGCCCACGGCGCGGCTCCAGATAGGCTGCGCACCGTGGACCCGGACAGGCACCCCTCCCCAAGCATGCGGGCGCTCGTCACGAAGGCGCTCTTCCAGCCAGCGCCGATGAGCTATCCGATCCGTGGCAGCGCCCCCTCCACGGCGGCTCGTGCAGAAGCTGCAGCACTGGCGAGGCCAGCTCTGAAAGTCCGCTGTGGGAGGGCAGCCAGGAGGACGAGGGAAGGGACGAGGAGGGGGAGTGGCCTGTCAAATGTGGCGCCTTGGGTGCACACTGGCACCGTCAAGCCACTTTGGACACCCAGACCGAGAGACACTCCAACCATCGAGTGGGGACGCGTCCGAGGCTCGGTCTGGCGCATTCCTGCCAGCCTGGCCTGCAGGACGGTGGGATCCCGCGGCAGAGGGAGGGAGGGAGGCGAGAGGACGGCGGAGGACGACGGAGGGCGAGGAGGATTTTTGTCTGCCGCGCTGCGTGACGCACCCTTGTCGTTGCGACGTGCTGTACAAGGTGCGCGGAGCCAGATGGCAGAAATCATGCCTTATAGGCTCCAAGCGCAACGCAGTGCAATCCAGCACGTGAGTGCAGTTGTGGCCCTTGCCGCACTGATCAGTGCTATCGGCTGCAGTTCCACAATACTTGCGAAACCTGTTCCAAGGCTCGCTACTAATAAGTAGCGCTCATCTGCAGTTCGGATCCGCCTTTGAGCTCTGCAGAGTAGCACTCACAAAGACGGCATGAAAACTAAGGTCCGTGCCTTGCTCTTCTGGAGAGCGTCCGAAGAGTAAGTGCACGAAATAGAGTAGAGACACTCAAGGTCAGTTTATCGCCAGGTGGCTCATGCACCGCGCGCGTGTACAGTCTCGAAAAAAACAAGCTGATGCAAGACGCCTGACAGCATAAAAAAACTATACAATAACGACGACCCTGATAAAGAAAAAAAACAACAAATCCCGATGCAAGTGGAGTCCCTGCACCCGTCTCCCGAGCGACCAAATCCTGTCACGTGGTGGCGCACTGGACGTTCCGATCCAGCCCAACCGACAGCGTATGATGTGGATGGGCCGTGCGCGAGCCCTTGCGTGGCTCATCGTCGGCTGACGAATCCTTATACAAGCGGTCGCGGGCAATGAAACAGAGATTGCTCCACTACAGTTGTAAGGCAGAACAAAAATCGAAGGGAGATCCGAGGTCCAGAGGCAGCTCAGTCGGAGGGAAAATCGGAGGGGAGAGCGGAAACTTAGTCCCCAATCCCCTGCGGGCTGTCACTGCGATGGCATGCAGGACTGGTCACTCACCACCTCGTCGGGCACCCCGTGGACCGTGGACTCGGTCTCCCCGGCCGAGAGTTCTCCAGTGCCGTTCCAGGGAGCGCAGTCTGCGTCCTCCGCGTCGCCCTCCACCGGCACCATGCTGAGGTCCTGCTCTGCGCCCGGCTGCTGCCCGGCAGCGGCGAGGCGCGAGCCCGGCAGCGCCCCGGGAAGCTCGCGGGGGAGCGGTGCCCGCGCGTCGCCGGGCGCGCTCGTCCCGCCCGCCGTCGTCGCCCTCGGCGCGGCCCACCTCTGCCGCTTCTCCTCGGCAGCAGCATGCGCAGAGAACGTCAGAGGATCCGACACCTTGCAGTCAGAACTCTTGGGAGAGATCGCGAAGAACTCGATGGGCGTAGGCTCGCTGGGGCCTGTCCTGGTGCTCCGCGCGAGGACCGCCCCAAACACCCCGCCAGCGCAGAGGATCGACAGGACTGTCATCACAATGCCAATGCCAGCGGAGCTGGTGTCCTTCGCTTCGTTGCTGGCAAGCGTGGTGGTTGTCAGCTGGACGACGCCAATTTTACCTGTCTGGACGGTCGCGATGCCAGGCACGGACTTCACGCTCTGGACCACCGCGTCGGCGAGAGCATCGAAGGAGCTCAGGTTGCTGGTCACGGAGCTCACGTCGATACTGTTCGGCACTCTGATGAGGGCCACCACGATCACAGAGCCGTCGATCACTGTCACCTCCACATCGCTGGCCGAGATACCCTCGCCCGCCTGCGTGGCAACTGCCTCGGCGCAAGCAAGCTTAAACGAGTCCATGAGTGTCTCGTTGGCCGTGAGCGAGTCGTAGTCCACATGTTCCACCATCATTGTCACGGTCTCGGTCTGGAGAGTGGTCGTGGAAGTGGTACTGCCTGTCGTAGTAGCACCGGTTCCACTGGCCGTACCGCTGACCGAAGTGGTGACGCTCGACGTCTCGCTCATTATCGTGATTGTATCCGTACCTGTCGCAGTGATCATCATGCGCGCTGAAGTAGCCGTGCGAGCCGTAGTGATCGTCGATGTACTCGCGGCCATCGTCGTAGTGATCGTCGCGGTTCTCGTGCCGATCGTAGTGATCGTCTCAGTGCCAGTGACATTCACAGAGGTGTCTGCTCCAGAAGTACTGGTCACAGAAGAGACAGTGCCCGATGTGGCAGTCCCTGGTGTACCAGTCACAGTGGTATCGGTCCCAGAGGTCCTCGTTAGAGAGGTTCCAGTCCCAGAGGTCTCCGTCTCAGATGTTACAGTCCCAGAGGTCGCAAAGGTGGAGTGGCTACCAGTGGTAGCTGTACTGCTGGTCAGTGCGGTGGTGGAGCTGCTCGCCGTCGTCACGGACGTATCAGTGCCAGAGATGCCAGTCGCAGAAAGGGTACTACTCACGGGAGCACCAGTTCCAGAGTTAGCACTTGTAGCTGTACTGCTTGTCAGTGCTCTCGTGGTGGTGCTCTTAGATGTAGCTGTATCGTTTGACGATGTGATGGTGGCGCTGGTCATCGTTGTCACGCTCGTGGTAGACGCCGTGGCAGTGGACGTAGCGCTCGTGGTCGAGGCGGTTCTTGTGGTGTGCGTAGCGCTCGTGATCGAGGTGAAGCTTGAGGTGTGCGTGGCGCTCGTGGTCTGAGTGCTAGTGGAGGTGGAAGTGCCAGTCTCGCTGGCGCCAGGCGTGGAGGCTCCAGCCTCGCTGGAGGTCGCCGTGAAAGTGCTGGTCGCGCTGGAGGTCGACGCAGAGCCGCCCGTCTCGCTGGTCGCCGACGCGGAACTGCTGGTCGCGCTCGAGGTCGACGTGAAAGTGCCGGTCTCGCTGGTTGCCGACACGGAGGTGCCAGTCTCGCTGGAGGTCGACGTGTCCGTGCCTGTCTCAGTCGAGGTCGTGGCGGTGCCGGTGGCTCTGCTGGTCCCCGACAGCGTCGAGGCAGTACTGGTGGTGGCGGTGGCGGTATTGCTCGCAGTGAGCGTGGTGAGGGTGCTCGTGTGGACCGTGGTGGTTGAGCTGGCCGAGCTGGTCTCCGTGGCAGTCGTGGTCCCCATCGAGGATGTTGTGCTCAAAACAGAAGTGGTTATAGAATAGGAGGTCGCCATCTCTGAAGTGTAAGTGGCAGTCGCTGTCGTGCTGCTGAACTGAGTTTCTGAACTACCAGAATGGGACGAGACCGTCGTGCTGAAACTCTCGATGGTTGTACTCACTGTGGTTGAACTCACACTGGTCGCCAGAGGTGTCGTGCTGGAACTCTCGCTGGCTGTGGTAAGCGAGAGTGTACTCAGTGTGGTTGAACTTCCAGTGGTGGAAGAGGCAGTCGTGCTGGAACTGTCACTGGTTGTGCTCACTGTCTGTGAGCTCACGCTGCTGGAGCTCTCGCTCGTGGTAGTGTTGGTCTGCGTCTGCGTAGTGCTGGTCGTGGTGGTGGTAGTGGTGCTCGTGGACGTCGCCATCTCCCGGGTAGGCTCCGACACCTCCACCTCAACCTCCTCGATCTCAGTGCCCAGCACCGCGGTGGCATTGCCGCTGCTCACAGCCTCCTGGAATTTCGCTGCGACCGCCTCCAGCTCGGCCAGCGCGTCCATGCTGAACGAGGCTCCAGCTGTCACCAAGACGACATCGGTCGACCCGTTCGACTGGCACCCGGTCCCGTTCGTGTCGGTCCCGTTCGTGTCGGTCGCGTTGGTCCCGCTTGTCAAATTGGCACAGTGGTCAGTCCCATTCGTCACGTGGCTCGTCGTGGCAGTGGTGTTGGACTCCTCCTCTGCGATCTGGATCGTGAGCGCCAGGCCAGAGGCTGCAGCGGTCTCGTGCCCGTCAGCGGTGCCGTTCGAAGTGTTTGAACTGTTCGCGGCTGTGAGCCGACGAAGCCGACGGGCTCCAGTCTGCACCGAGACGATCTTGATGCGGGAAGGGTCGATCTGGAGAAGCGTCGCCAAGTTGTCGATGAAGCTGGCGCCGTCGAACTCCTGCACGGAGACGGAGACGGTGAGGGACAGCTGCACGACCTGAATCATCTTCAGCAAGATCCAACCGCCTCCTCGAGTCGCCTCGACCCCTTTGTGCGTGCCGCCCTTCATGACAAGATAGAAGCGGCGCGCGTGGGGGTCGAAGGCGTGCGAGCCGTGGGCGTCGGACAGCACTGGCAGCCGGGCCGCCGCCCGCGAGGCGCTCGGGCTCGGGCTGGGCCTCCCCGTCTCGGACTCTGGCTCCGACTCCGACTCTGGCTCCGACTCTGGCTCCGACTCGGGCTCCGACTCGGGCTCCGATTCGGACGTGGGCGCCGACGTGGGCGCCTCCGACTCCGACTCCGACTCCGGCTCCGACTCGGGCTCTGGCTCAGGCGATGGGGTCGGCGAGTCGCACGAGGGGCACGCGATGGTGGTGTCGTACTCGTCCCCGAGCAGCACGCCGTCCACGTATACCTGCAGCTGGAAGGGCTGGGTCAGGAAGATATCTAGACGGACCGAGTCTTCGATCTCGCTGAAGAAGAAGAGCCGGTGGTGCTTCGGAGGCGAGGCGAACATGGTCAAGTTGTAGCGGTCATTGGGCCGGAGAAGCCAATAGCGGTCCTGGTCGGGCGGGTCCGGGATGCACCCATCGTCGAACGGGCCGGAAGACCACGTGGACGTGTCGTCCGACTCGCGCCAGGCCTTGAATCTGCTGAAGACCGCCGGGATGCTGACGTCAAAAGCCTCCCACCAGAGCACCCGCAGCTTCAGGTCTGGGCAGGCGAAGTGGCCAGGGCGCTCTTCGCACGAGCTCTCCGCGAGGTCGGGGTTCTGGCTCGTCACCGCGGAGCCCGCGACCCCGGTGCCCAGCAGGCTGCCGTCCATGTCCAGCAGGGCCGACTGCAACACCGCGTCGCACGCCCCGTCGCACCCGACTCGGTTGTCGCACGTGCCGTGCGCGTTGCAGCTGGACCAGTCGGCCAGGTCGATGCGGGCGTCGTCGGCAGCCGTGCCGAGCCAGCTGACATTGGAGAAGCGGTTCGGATGGAACATGTCGACTGCCGTGGGATTGATGGTGAACGCGACGGAGGGCGTGCCGCAGTCGTCGCCGCTGAAGTGGCCGAAGGTGGGCGCGGTCCAGACCACTTCCGAATACCGCGAGCCGGCGCTGCCCACGCGGTGCTCCCACGGCATCACGCACAACTTCTGCGGGGTGTTGGGAGGCCGGCACACTGGGACCTTGCCGCCAGACTCGCACGTCTTCCCGATGCCCTGCACCAGGTGCGAGAGGAAGCCGACCCGCCTGAACACGGACCCCACCACGGAGTTGCATGTGGCGCCCACGTTGTCGTCGTCCGATTCATCTCTACCGTAGGCGCGGCACTCGATGGATGCGTCGCACGTGGACGCCTCCGTGGAGCCGAAGATGGTCACATTGTGCATATAAACGCGGTGCTCGTTGTCTTCGCGTGACCGGGTGAAGTGAAGCGCGGTACCGATGTGGTTGTCGGACATCAGGACGGAGTCCATGCGAAGGTTGGTGGTCTGGTCGACTGTGACGACGCCAATGTGGCTGTTCTTCCAGGCAACGGCCCCGCGCAGCGTGGAGCAGCTGTTGCTGTCGCAATCCGCCCGCACCCCGTTCAGCTCGGTGCTGTCGCAACCGATCGAGCTGCCGCGCAGGATGAAGAAGCCAGTCATGCACGCCACGGCCTCGTTCATCATCTCTTCGTCCAGGGGCGCCAGCCCGGCGTCACCCTCGACGCAAGCCTCCAGGGAAGGGCGGATCATGAAGCCAGTGTCCGCGGAGCCAGCGGCGATGTTGCCCGCGAGGGTCGCTATGGGCACCTCGATGAGGAAGGCAGCGAAGCCGTTGACCCAGACGGTCGTCTCGAGCGGGTGGCGCAGCGTCTCGATATCGGCGGCGAGCCCGGGGGGGAAGTGAGCAGGAGAAGGCCTTCTCAGAGAAGGCTCGGAAGTCCCTGGCCTTCGAGAGAAGCCCTCTAGGCCTTCCCCAAAGACTCGGAACACTTCTCCTTCTCACTCTCCCCCCTCGCCCGCCGCCGAGGATAGCCACGTTGCCGGTGATCACGACGCCGTCTCCGACGGCCGTGCTCATGATCCACAGGGCCGTGCGGTACGTCCTGTCGAAGATGTTGCCGCGGAGCGCGAGGTGGCGCACGCCGTCGCCCGCCACCGCGCCAGCCTGCGAGGAGCGGAAGATGCATCGGGTGACGGTGCTGTTGTCCTCTCCGCTGCTCAGGCCCTGGTACTTGAAGTGCAGGGCGGGGTACTCGTGAAAGAACTTGCCCATCGACACGAAGTCCACGGCCTGCATGTGGGCAGTGCCCACCCACACGCCATCCTGCGAGCCGCCGACCACGACGTGGCCCCCGTGGTAGCCGTCGCCCTCCCCCGTCCTGAAGACAACGTTCGAGCGACCTGAGAGCAGCGCCACCGTGGCCTCCAGCCTCACCCTCGACCAGTGGCCCCCACCGTTCTGCGGTATCTCCCCGCCATAGTGGCGTTTGACGAGCGCCTGGCTCAGGCGGACGAGCGTGGTGTCCGTTGCGGAGTCGTAGACGGGCTGCCCCGCGATATTGACGATCTCCGTATCCGTCGTCCTCGGAGGCTGTGGGTACTCCGTGGCAGAGATGCCGATCTCCGCACCCGCTGGCCACTCGCTCAGGTTGCCCCTCAGCACCAGCTCCTGCGCCCCGGCAACGGCCGTACCGTTCAGCTTGGCCCAGAGCGCGCTGCCGATGTCCGACCCGAACGCCGTGAGCGTGCCGAGCACCCCAACCACCTTGTTGACCATGAAGAGGCCCTCGACCATGACGGGCGTCTGGTCCAACTCCTCTCCGTACAGTGCCACCGTTGCGTGCACGCCAGGTGGTATTGGATCATCCGCGGTTCCGATCTCGAGAGTACCCCAGACCTTCGCTGAGTGGCAGTTCAGCCTGCTGCTCACGTTGCGAGCGAACTCAAGCTTCCCTTCAATGACCACCCACTGGAGCAACGGCGTCTCGATGTCCAGCATGACGTAATCTGAGACGTTGATGACGACCGTGTCGCCCTCTTGGGGCAGCTGTCCGCCGGGCCACTTCGACGCGTCCGACCACAGCCTCACGGGGTCCATGGGCGCCGTGTAGGGCACGGGCTCCGGGCAGCCCCAGTCGGGGCACTCCCTGGCCCAGTACGTGTTCCAAACTTGCCGCGGATCGCCGATGTGCGCGGAGAGAGCTGCGGTGAGGCGTCCCGCTACCTGGGGCAGGTCCGGCTCCTCCTCCAGATCGAGCTTGAGGTCAGTGCCCGTCTGGTTAACGTACTCCCCGCTGCAGATCTCCTGGCTCTCATTGGTGAGGTCGTACAGGTCGCACTGGTGCCGCCAAAGCTTCATTGCGTAAGAACCGAAGGAGTCGTTCATCGTCGGCTCCCAGCTGATCGCCTGGCCCTGCGCCTCGCCGAGCGGCCAGCCCGACGATGCCTCGCCGAGCTCGGCATCGAAGTGGTCGCGCCAGGTCGAGTAGTTGAGGTGCACCACGACGCCCTCGTCCTGGGGCTGGACGCGGGTGACCCAACCGTGCTCCTCGAAGACATAGCCAGATGTACCTGAGTAGCCAAGGGTCAGCTGCTGGAAGTCGTTCGCGTTGTCGACCTTGATGTCGTACACCTTCTCGCTCACCACAGGCACAGCCCAGCCCCAAAGATTCAGAACGGTGAAGGAAATGGAACTGTTGGCGACGTCCGTCCGCACCATCAACTCGTTCAGGTCCAGCTGCCAAGGCTCCTGGTTGTTCACCAGGAGCCGGCGCATGCGCAGCGTGCCGTCGTCCTTACCGCACACGATCCCGCCCCTGTGCTGGTCGGTTACGTGGCACAGGCCGTCCCACTCGTTGAAGGGCGTGTACATCGACACGAAGCCGTTCGGGTACCCTGTGAGCGTTCCGTCGAGGTCGTGGAAGATGCCGGATATGAGTTCGCTGCTGGACGTGCGCACGGACGAGTGGTACCACTCCGCCCTCTCGACCCTGATGGTGCACATGGTCATGAAGCATCCGTAGAGCACCGGCGTGTCGAAGTAGTTGATGACCTTCAGGCCGGATATGAAGTAATGCTCATTGTCCTTCGGCGTGCGATCTCCGAGGCTCACCCCCGTGGAGTAGCCGGCCGTGTTGTCGATGTTGCCGACGAGCAGCATGTCCTCGAAGAACGGCTCGTCAGAGAGTCTTCCAGAGAAGTGGTTCTGGAAGTGGCCAACGCCGCATTCCACGAAGCGGTGGTCAACGTGGTGAATATTACCCGTGCCGTAATAGAACATGCCGGTTGCGCAACGGAACGCGGTGAACGTTTGGAAGGTGTTCATTGTCGGCGGGGCGTGCGGGGGCTTCAGGTGCCAGCCGAAGCCGCAGGCGTGCGCGGAGTTGTTGAAGAAGGTCAGGTCTGACTGCTCGAGGGCCACACCTTCCAACTTCCGGACGCGCCAGCCGCGGTGGCAATTAACGGCGAGGTTCGAGCGGTGCCAGCCTGTGAAGCCCGGCAGCCAGAAGCCCGCCGGAGTCTCGTCATCGTCCAGCAGCAGGTGGTGCGGGAGCGGCTCCACGGCAAGGTTGTGCTCGAAGAGGGCGTAGTGCTCCTGGCCCGTCTCTGTGAAGAACATGTGGCCGCGCACGTGGTAGGCCACGTTGTGCATCACCGTGGCGTAGTCGGTGCCGTGGACCACAACGGCCCGCTGGAAGGTGTCGTGGTACGAGTTGTTCCGCAGGTACGCTATGTCCATCACGTCGACATTGCGGCCCGACGAGAGCACGTGCCAGTGCGAGGAGTATCTTCCAAGGTTCGCCGCCTGCCCGGTGCGGAACAGCTCGGTGTTCTCGATGCGCAGCTGCCCGCCCATGAATGCGCCGACGTGGGCGCCGAACATGTAGGCGCTCCCGTGCTGCTCGGAGGCGTCGTCGCCCTGCACCTTGACGTTGCGCGTCAGCAGCCCGACGGCGGCTCGGAGGTCCGTCGGCGTGGTGCTCTCGTGGAAGTACCACTCCCCGATGTGCTCGTGCTGCAACGGCTCGTCGACCTCCAGGGCGAAGCCGTCCTGGCTCACCGACCTCACGGTGAGTACCTCGTCGCGCTGGCCGAGCTCCGACGTCGTGAGGATCACCTTGGCGCCCACCTCCCAGTCGACGGGCTCCTCCAGCTGTAGCACAGTGCTGCCTGCTGGCGCGGTGGCCACTAGCCTCGTCCACGACGTCTGTGGGCGGCCGTGCAAGTCGAGCTTGCCGACAGACCTGACTCCGCAGACGTTTGACTCCGCAGTGAAGCCGGCGCTCGTGAGGCGATTTCCTTGCGTGGAGCAACCTGTGTGCAGCCCGCCCAGGTTTGTGACCGCAAGCATCTTGGCGCCAATGAACGGCAGCTCGATCGTGTGCCATCGGTCGCCGTGGAGCGTGATCGTGGCCCTCTGAAGGAAGGGGTCGTCCTCCGTGCCGACGGAGAAGCTGCCGCCCGCCACCCAGATGTACGTGGCGTTGAAGGTGAGGTCCTTCCGATCAAACTCGAGGATGCCGCTGACGACGACGAGGAACAGCTTCGGCGAGTTCACGTCGAGCAGAATGGCCTGGCCCTCTGGCACGATGACAGAGTCCCCGTCGAACGGAGGCTCGGAGTCCAGCCAGCTGCGCACGTCGCTCCACCTGTCGATGTACCTGAACGTGGTCTCGCTCTCCGCGCCCACGACGGTGGCGTAGCCCTTCCCGCTTACCCACACCGATGTGGACGCAGGATGTATGCCTCCGTCGCGCACGGCGGTTACGCACTCGGCGTGCGTGTCGTTGACAGAAGTGACCTGGCACGCGTACCCGTTGAGCATGACCCTGAGGAGCGTGGGGTTCGCAGCGGGGGCGTCGCTCACGTACGGCGTCAGGCCGGAGCCGCGCAGCGTCACCAGCGTGCCTCCCCTCGCGGAGCCGCTGGTCGGCGACAGCGACGTCAGCAGCGGAGTGCGGCTGAACTCGTGCACGAGCTCCACGGAGGTGTTGACCCTCGCGCTGGCCCGCGACGCCAGCGGGTGCAGGACGCGGCCGACAGAGATGTCGCAGACGCCAGACTCGTCCGCGTCCAGCAGCACCCCGCTGAAGCGCGCGCCGCGCAGCAGCTCCCCCTGGGTGTTGCAGATGCCGGGGAGCAGCCGCACGCGGAACGCCTGCGCCAGCACCCCCTCGGTGCCGAAGACGTTCCAGCCCTGCGCGATGGTTGACCCGGTGATCACGGCCTCCGTGAGGCTCGCAACCTGGGCCCAGGAGCCGTCGGATAGGTTTTTCACCTCGAAGACAGTCTCAGTGGCCAGCGCCCGCTGATTGGGGTCGGTCGGGGGAAAGATGCTCACGGTCTGCAGGCGCGCCACCTGGGACGGCGGCAGCTCGAACGCGAACCAGCACTCCTCGCGGTTGTGCCAGCTCAAGTCGTAATAGAAGTTGATCTCGCGATCCACCGAGGACGTGAAGGTGCTGTTCGCGAGGGCGACCTCGTCCTCGTCGCCGCGGCCCTGATCGGTGTAGAAGACACTGGCGTGGGGCGCCAAGTCCTCGGCGGGGAAAGCGGCAGGGTACAGATCTGCCAGCACCGCACTCCTGCGCTCGGGCGTCTCGCACCGGAGGCTGCTGCTGTTACGGGCCTCCAGCACACGGCACGGCCTGCCGCAGACGAGGACCTCGGTCTGGTCCAGGTCAAGCCCGAGGTGCTCGCCCCGGAGAGTCAGCTCGACCCCGCCTCGCAGCCCCGCGCGCAGGGTGCCGCCCGCTGTGGCAGGCAGCACGGTGCCCCGCACCTCCACCTCGGAGACGCTGGGCGCCAGGTCTAGGAGCTCTGGCGCCGCAGAGGACCAGCCCGCGGCCGGCTGCCACAGGCGCACCGTCCAGAGGCCGGCCGGCACGTCCTGGGCGACGCAGCGCACCTGGGCGTCGCTCCAGAACGCGGAGGTGCACTGGACGTTGGCCTTCGGGTCGCGGTGGCTGCCGAAGGCGACCGCCCCCGGCGCGCTGCCGAAGCCCGAGCCGTCGACGACCAGCTCCACCTCGGCCGCGGACGACACGACCGCGACCGCCAGCGCCTGGGGGGAGGAGCCCGAGCTCAGGTACTCGAACTGCAGCGAGGGCCCGGCGGCACTTGGCAACTGCTTCAGCGCCGCCTCGGGGACGGTCGCGGTCACCTCCCCCGTGTCAGGCCCGGAGTAGCTGAACACGAGGCTCGAGGTGCTCGTGCCCTGCTGGTACTTGACCTCGATGTAGTGGTCGCCCTCTTCAAGGTAAGACACTGTGCCCTTGACTTCAAGGGCTCCGTGGAAACCCTGGTTGTCCACAACGAGAACGTCGTCCACCCATAAGGCGCTGCCGTCGTCGGAGACCAGCGAGAAGACGTAAGTGCCAGGGGTGGCGATGGCCAGGTAGCCTCGCCAGACGGCGCCGAAGAAGTATGAGGTACCGAGGCCCAGCTCTGTGCCCAGGTCGCTCTCGAAGTTCAGGGCCGACGTCGTCCCCGACGAGTCCGGCGAGTGAGCACCGAAGTCGGCGATCGGCACCGCGGAGCCGAAGAGGTAGAAGTCGGCGGACAGGCCGGCGCCCGTGCCCGACGGCCCCACCACGACGTGCACCTCCTGGGCTCCAGCGGCGCCCTCGGGGGCCGCCGGGGACCAGCACCGCAGCTCGCCGAAGGAGGCCGCCGACACCGGGCAGACCCGCGAGCCTACTGTAACGAAGTTCTCCTCGGGCACAGAGCTGAAGCCAGATCCCAGGATGGTCAGCTCCACGCCTCCGTAGAGGGAGCCGCTCATCGGGCTCACCGAGAAAAGAAGCAGCTGCTGCTCGAACTGGAAATTGGCGCCCAGATACGGTGAGCCATGCAGGGCATACCCCTCCGGGTCTACGAACACGTGGACCGGCACCTCCGTCGCAGAGAACTCGCACACGGGCACCTCCAGCACCGTCTGCGTGAGATTGAACCCCTCCAGGCCGAACACGTCCCCCCTGGACAGTTGGTAGTCGCCAGCCTCCACCCTCCAGGACGACACTGGGCACTGCACGTCGCCGAAGAACACCCTCATCTTGTCGCCGTTCAGCTGACCTTCGAGGACGACTGAGACGTTGGTGCCGAACGACCCGTTGAGCGGGTGCACGTCAAGCAGCTTCGGCGTGGCGGCCTGGGAGTAAAGAATGCTGCAGCCCTCCGCAGCGGCGCAACGCGACGAGACCCCGTTGAGCGTCACCCTGACGGTGGCGGCGGTGTCCGGGAACCTCGTGGTGGTCGTGGTGGTGGAGGTGACCGTGGAGGTGCTGGTCGCGGTGGTGCTGGTCGCGGTGGTGCTGGAGAGTGTGGTACTAGTCTCGGAACTGCTAGACAGGCTATAGGTGATGCTTGTCGAGCTGGTCCCGCTATAGGTGGTGCTGCTCCCAGTCGTGCTGGTCAAGGTCGAAGTGCTGCTCTCCGACGTGGTGTGACCCGTGGTGGACAAGCTCGTGATGGAATACGTCAGGGTGGAGGTGGAGCTCTCCGAGGTGGTGAAGTCCGACACGGAAGACGTCAGGCTCGTGCTGGTCAGGGTGACGCTGGAAGTCTCCGAGACGGTCTGGAGCGTGGTGGAAGACGTAATGCTAGTGCTGGACAACGTGGAGGTGGAGGTCGCGGTCTCCGACGTGGTGTGCTCCGAGGTGGTTGTCCCAGACGCCGTTCCTGTGCTCGAAGCGGGTGTGCTAGTCAGCCAGGCACTCGTAGTCGCTTCGCTCGAAGAGATGCTGCTCGTAGCCGTTGTGCTGGTCAGTGTCGAGGTGGTAGTCACCTCCGTGGTGCTCGTGGCCGTGGTGCTGGACATCGCGGTGCTCGTCACCGTGGTGCTGCTCGTAGCGGTTGATGTACTCGCTGTCGTCCTGCTCGAAGCGATGATGTTCGTAGCGGTTGCGCTGGTCAGCGTGCTCGTCTGCGTGGTGCTGGTCAGCGTCGAGGTGCTCGTCTGCGTGGTGCTGGTCAGCGTGCTGCTGCCGCTGCTCGTCGCACTGCTGCTCGTCTGCGTGGCCACCGACAGGCGCCTGCCCGCGGGCGGCTGCCGCGGCGGCCCCCGGCCGGCAGGGGAGCCCGGCGCCCTCGCCGCCCGTCCTTCCGGCGGCCCCGAGAACGCGTGCGCCGGCGGCACGGCCGCAAGCTTGGTCAAGCCCTTGGCCAGAGAGTGCTCGGCGCCCATGGAGCGCACCCTGCCCATGCTCATGATCGACTTGGCGAGGCAGTGGCCCTTCGTCTTTGGTGACCGGTCGCGTGCACAGTCAATCCTGCCACGTGCTCCCGCTGAGGACAACCTGCGTCCCAAGACGGTGCCCATGTCGTAGAAGCTAAAGATGTAGTCGTCCGCGACCGCGGGGGACTCGAGCTGGCACCGGAGCTCGGTGTCGCTGCCCGAGAGCACGACGCAGGCGTGCTCGGTCCCGTCCGGCAGCTCGAGGAAGATCTCCTGCTTCGAGGGGTCGGAGGGGTGGAAGCCCGACCCCGTCAGCGTGATGATTGCTCCGCCAGCGATGGTGGCGTAGCCAGGGGAGACACCGGTCACCTGGCGGATTCTGGAAACCCTGACCCCAAAACTGTTGTCATCTCTTGGGGGCGCACGTTACTTCCGCCACCTTCCGTAGCCCTTCCTCAAGCTTCTGCTGGCGGAGGCGGCCCCGTTTGCCTTCCGCCGCTCTTCCGCCGCCCTTCCACCGCCTTCCGCCGAGGAAGAGATGACAACTGCTTCGAGCCTCGAAGGCCCTCCCTCCTCCTCCTCCTCCTCCTCCTCCTCCTCCTCCTCCTCCTCCTCCTCCTCCTCCTCCTCCTCCTCCTCCTCCTCTCGACGGCAACGCCCTCTTTGGAACGCCCCACCTCGAGCCGGGACGTGAAGGTCGCCGAGGCGCTGACGGCTGCGCGGCCCAGCCCCTCGACCCACACCTCGGGCTGCGCCGTCGCGTTCGCGGGCGGTGCGGGCACGGAGCGCTGCAGCCAGCAGCCCACGTGCGACTCGCTGTGCTCCTCCACAGGGGCTCGACCCAAGCAGTGCTCTGCGCCCTCGTGCCGCGGCCTCGTGCTCGCTCGTTCTCGGGCGGCGCGCGAGGGGGGGCAAGTGGAAAGGAGAAAGCCTTGTCAGAAGGCGGCGGGGCTTCTCCAACAAGCCCTGCGGCCTTCTGAGAGGTTTTCTGTGTCTTCGGGGAAAAAGGCTTAGAAAACGTCTCAGAAGGCCGTGGGACGTCCGAGCCTTCCGAGAAGGCCTTCTCCCTCCGACTTCCCCCCTTGGCTCGCCGCCGAGTTCTGCCTCCGCCCAGCCCTCTCCGCAGGACGGAGCCGAGACGCAAACGGCCCACGAAGCCCCCAAAGCACCGCTTGGGTCGAGCCCTGCTCCTCGACGACGCAGGGCCGGCCGCCGAAGGAGACGGCCGGCAGCGTGCCGCCCCCGCCCAGGCGCTGCCCCGAGAGGACCAGCTCCACGGTGAGCCCGGCCGAGTGCGTCTCTGGCGACACGGCGGTGACGGCCGGGGTCCTGTTGGCGGCGTAGACGAAGGTCCCGACGGACACGGGGGTCGGCCTCAGCAGCACGATCTCCGCCTCCACCTCCTCGGGCGCCTCCTCGAGGGAGGTTCCATTCAGCACGTCTGGCGTGAGGCAGACGACGCCGCCCCAGCCCACGGACGCGACGGCGAGCGGCGAGACTTCCGGCTCGGAGCAGGCCACGCCACCCACAGTGATCTGCGCGCACGGCATGCCCACGATGCCGTCTCCCGTCATCGTGAAGGGCGTGCCACCTGCCAGGGAGCCGACCAGGGGCGAGACGTCCCCCACGGTGGGCAGGTACGTCACGTTGGGCGCCGTAGACGGATCTGCCAGGCCCTGCGTCACGGAGAGCAACCGCACTCGGTGCACGCCAGCAGTGCCATTCGACACCGTGCAGTTGAGAACCCTCTCCCCGCTGCTCAGATTCCACCAGGCGCTGTCGCTCCACGCCTCTGTCACGTCCGTCAGGCCGGCACAGGCGATCGAGGACCCAAGCGTGATTGTGATCGCGCTGGTGTTAGCGCTGGCGTTGCCCTCAATCGCGCCACTGTTGGCGACGATGGCGGTCAGAGTGCTACCGCCCTGCACAGTGCTGGGATACACGCTGAGAAGCACTGGAGTCAACTCCTCCAGGTAGTAGAAGGCGGGGACATTCTCGTTTTCAGCAGCGCCGAGTACACCGAAAGTCTCCACGGTCACCACCATCGCTTGAGTGTCCGCTGGATGAGGCATCTCGAAGAGGTCCATTGGGACTCGCTCCATCATCAAGGCGTCTGCGTCGCCATCCTCGACTGGTACCACTGAGATGCTGTAGACGGCCGAAAGATCTGAGTCTGGTACCCCCACGAAGTCTTTGAGGTCCAGGTCCAGCAATCTCACATCCCCCAGCGGCTTCCGGAAGCGCACGAAGATCTCCCAGGACTCCTGCGCGGCCTCCCCGATCATAGCCGGCCAGGCCTCGACCTCGAGTGCAGTGCCATCGCCGAGAGTCGTGGATAAGGTGTAGGCGACGCTCCAATAACCGATCCGAGGGTCAATCGGGTCGCTCCACACGCCGTCGTAGCCCAGGCGAAAGGTGCCAGAGGGACCAGGGGTCCCTACGTCCAGCAAGCCGGCAGTTGCTCCCACGCTACCCGCCAGCGCGGTGGGCACGAACAGGGACATATGACTGAGGGTGCCCTGGGGCAATACGCAATCGGCGGTCACCTCGTAGGTCCGGTTCACAGGGCCCTGGTTCGTCAGCGTGACGACTAAAGACATGCAGGTCAACAGCCTTGTCCTGGTGCCGCTGATGTTCACGGTTTGGAGGGCAGTTACTACGTCGCTCTCGGAGTCATCCGGGCTGAGCGTCACGTAGTTCACCGTGCCGTATGTGGGATTCGAGACGGCGAGCTTGTACGTGCCTCCAGCGTCGGCGTTGACCATGTGGATGTAGTGCTTCTCGCGGACGATGCCAGTGCTCGAGTACTTGACGCGCTGCAGCTCCATGGCAGGGTGTGCTCTGATCGCGTCGTCTGCCGCCTCCTGGCCCAGAGCGGTGCCGTCGGCCTTCCGCGCGCTGCCCAGGCCGCTCACCTTCATTCCGAACCTGTACCAGTCGGCGCCGTTCCACTGCGTGTGCCTCAGCCGGAAGGCGTAGCGCTCCCCCGCTGTCAGGCTGATCGGATGGGAGATCTGCTCGTCGGGACCTGCCACACGGCCGGTGCTGATGTCGCCGTGGATGAAAAACGCGTGGGGGTTGTACTCGGCGTACTGCCATTTGGAGACGTAGCTCGGGCAGGTCGCCACGGTCTCCAGGGTGTCGAAATCGCTGGTCTTCCCCAGCTCGATCACGGTCGTGTCGTCCCCCGCGATGTAGAAGGTGTAGTTCGCCGTCAGGGGGGGCACGAAGAAGCCCTGCGCCTCGAGCTGGTGGTTGTAGCCGTTGGTGGAGGACCACATGCTGGCACGCCCGGGCCAGTCGATCCGTCCGCCCTTCAGCACCCCGCTGTCGAGCAGCTGGCAGTCCTCCTCCGAGATCCTCGTGGAGACCCCGTTGGGCACCCAGGAGCCGTCGATGGTTCTGCAGGACGTCCACGCGAGCCCGCGGGGCGTCCGGTTGCTGGGCGCCTCGGGGTGGAGCGAACGGTCCCCGAGCACGCACTGCAGGCGGCTGGCGGTGGCGGTTGTCACCTCGCAGGGAATCCCGCCGACGCTGACCTGGTTGTCCGCCGGGATCTCAGAGAAAGAGGAACCGAAGATCGTGAGCAGGTTGCCGCCGTGAATGCCGCTTGACGTAGGCTCGATGCTGTTCACCTGTGGGTACACCGTGAAGTGGTACGACCTTCCTGTCGAGAGGTCCACGGTGCCATAGAACTGGAAGCCCCACGAGGCGATGTGTGTGTGCGACCATTTCACGACACCGCCGACCCCATAGCTGCTCATCAAGCCGCCGACGTCGTCGCTCGTGCGGGGAAAACACGCGCCTGAAGGGCACGACCCGTTCTCGTGATCCAGCATGTTCAGGCGCATGGACACGTTGTAATGGCCAGGCGGCGCCTGCTCGTTCGGGAGTTCGCACGGAATGCTCTTCTCCTGCCATCGGCGCCTGCGGCTGCTGGCTACCTCCAGCGGCCAGGTCTCGTTATCGACTGTGCAAAGGACGTCCCCGATGGAGATTCGCACGAAACCGGTAGAGTCGAAGTCCAGCGGCATGACACCCGTGAAGCGGAGCACGTCGCCCCCGGTGCCTGCCCAGGAGTCCGCGTAGTGCAGCATTGGGGACTGCGACGTCCTGTACCGGAACGCGCTGTCCATCTGCACGATGCCCGCGTCCCCGAGGCCGCTGAATTGCCGCACGCTCACGGTCAACCAGTCAGAGTCCTCGAAGGACGTGTAGGGCCGCGTGAGGCAAACGATCTGGGAGCCGCCAGAGTAATGCTGAACGATATCGCAGGGAGACGAGCCGACGTAGACGTCCTGCTCGTCCCAAGGATTCGCCTCCGTGGGGTAGAGAAAACCCGACCCAGAAATCACGAGATACGTGCCGCCGTACGTCGATCCTTCACTCGGGAAGACATCCGTGACGGAGAGCCCGGTCGCGCGCAGGAGGCAGCCGACACACAGCAGCAGGAGCGCTCCTCGGTCGCGCCACGGGGGGCGACACCCGAGCATCCGGGCTGTGCGCGCGCACCTGGCCCGCGCGCCGAGGGAGTCCCCGCGCAGACTGCGCACCCGGGCCACACGGGGCGGCCCTCGAGCCAAGAGCTTAGTCCAAGAGGCTACGGACGACGACGGTGTCACACTCGGGGCCCCAGGCCGTCTCGGACGCCCCGCGGCGCGAGGCGGGATCCCCCCTGGCACGGTGCGACTGGCCCTCCCCCCGATTCATCGCCTGGCCCTGGGAGGGTGGGTGGTATCGCTTTCGCTGGTACGGAGCACTTCCCCCCGCCCTCTCTCGGCGGTGACGGAAAGCAGGCAGGCGGCGGGGGAAAGCGGTTTGGCGGGTTGGCTGACGGGCTGGGTGGGTGGCAGGGTGGCTGGTTGGGTTGATTGGCTGGTAGGGTTGGTTGGGTTGGCAGATTGAGCTGGCTAGGGCGAGTGGTTTCGATCGTTCCCCAAGCAGTGCTTGCACTTAGGGGTTATGAATTCTGTTCTAAGGAACTGGGCCGTGTCTTCGGTCTGGCGGCTATGTGGCCGCCGTCGCCGCCCCGTCGCCACTTCGTCGCCGCCTCGTCGCCGCCCGTCGCCGCCGTTGGATTGCGCCACATACATGGCACGAAAAGCGCATGCAGCGCGCATGTAAAACGCTCACAGCATAGAGTTATATATATATATATATAAAACAAAAAATAGCCTGGCACAGGACCCAGCCATATGCAGTTGTGAGCAACGCAGTTATAGTATCCTCTTCGGTGGCGCCCCCTTATCGTGCCACGAAACGTGTGAGTGGTGTGCCAAACTGGGTGCGGCGGGCGCATGTGAACGCAGCCATCGGGGCCTTCGGTGCAGCTCCCTGTAGGGCCACGAACCGTGTGATGGGTGTGCCGAAATCGGCACGGGACACATGCGGACCCTGCCAGTGGGACCTTCGGTGGAGCCCCCATGTAGGGCCACGAAGCGTATGAGAAGTGCCGAAATGAGCGGAAGGACGCATGCAGAACCTGTCATTGGGGCCTTTGGTGGAGCTCCCTATGGGGCCACTAAAACAGCGTGAGGGGTGTGCCGAAACATGCGGGGTGACGCATGCGAACCCTGCCACTGGGCCTTCGGTGGAGCCCCCATATGGGGCCACGAACCGTAAGAGGGGTGTCCCAAAATGGGCGTGGGGACGCATGCGGACCCCCTGCCACTGGGGCAGTCGGTGGAGCCGCCTTGTGGGGCCACGAACCGTGTGAGGGGTGTGACAAAATTGAAGGGGGGACGCATGAGGCATGCGGACTCTGCCACTGGGGCAGCCGGTGGAGCTCCCTATGAGGCCACCAACTGTGTGAGGGGTGTCACAAAATGGTCGGGGGGGACGCATGCGGACCCTGCCACCAAGGCTGCCGGTGGAGCTCCATGTGGGGTCACGAACCGTGAGAAGGGTGTGACAAAAAGTGCGGGGGGACGCATGCGGACCCTGCCGCTGTGGCCTTCGGTGGCCTCCCTGCGGGGCCACGAATCGTGTGAATGGTGTGCCCACATGAAACGCGTGCGAACCCTGCTCCTGGGGCCTTCGGTAGAGCTCCGTATGGGACCACGAAACGCGTGAAGGATCTGCCGAAATGTGTGTTGGGGACGCATGTTGCCACACCAAGCGGGGCCTAAGGTGGAGATCCCCATGGGGGCACGAAACCTGTAAGGGGTGTCCCGAAACTGACATGCGGAGGGCAGATGCACAATGCTGATGACGATGTGGATGATAGCGGTGGCGATGACGATGACCATGCGAATGGTGATCACGGCACGCGCGAGAGCAGAGGCAGCAATGGGAGGAGGGAGGGGGGGGGAAGAGTGAGTGAGTGGACTCGGGGCGCTGTCTTTCCAAAACGAGGACCCAATACCACGACATGGCTGAGAATTCTGATCTACCACCACCACCCCCGGGATGATCGCCCCCTGGGGATGTGCAATTTATACGAGATTATGCCCCATCGCTCTGAATATGAGATCATGTAACCGCAGCCACGCTGAGTTCGGGGACAGGAACGAGGGGCAGGAGAAGGATGGCATGCGGGGTAATCTGAATCTGCGTATGACGTCACTCCGCTGGGCCCCCCAGTAACCCTCGAAAGTGGCGACTGTTTCGCAGATCGCAGCCCCCCAGGGATGGCGAGGTCTAATCTGAATCTGCATATGACCCCACTCCGCTGGGCCCCCCAGCAGCCCTCGAAAGTGGTGACAGTTTCGCAGATCGCGGCCCCCCATGGATAACGAGGTCGAATCCGAAGCTGCGTATGACCCCACTCCGCTGGGACCCCCAGCAGCCCTCGAAAGTGGCGACAGCTTCGCGGATCGCGGCCCCCCAGGGATGGCGAGGTCGAATCTGAATCTGCATATGACCCCACTCCGCTGGGCCCCCAGCAGCCCTCGCGAGTGGCGACAGTTTCGCAGATCGCAGGCCCCCAGGGATGGCGAGCTCCAATCTGCATCTGCGTATGACCCCACTCCGCTGGGCCCCCCAGCAACCATCGAAAGTGGTCACAGTTTCGCACATCGCAACCCCCAGGGATGGCGAGGTCGAATCTGAATCTGCGTATGACCCCACTCCGCTGGGCTCCCCAGCAGCCCTCGAGAGTGGTGACACTTTCGCAGATCGCAGCCCCTCAGGGATCCCACCCCGCTGGACCCCCCAGCAGCCCTCGAAAGTGGTGACAGTTTCGCAGATCGCGGCCCCCCAGGGATGGCGAGGTCTAATCTGAATCTGCGTATGACCCCAATCCGCTGGGCCCCCAGCAACCCTCGAAATTGGCGACAGTTTCGCGGATCGCAGCCCCCCAGGGATGGCGAGGTCGAATGTGAATATGCGTATGACCCCACTCCGCTGGGCCCCCCGGCAGCCCTCGAAAGTGGCGACAATTTCGCAGATCGCGGCACCCCAGGGATGGCGAGGTCGAATCTGAATCTGCGTATGACCCCACTCCGCTGGGCCCCCCAGAAACCATCAAAAGTGGCGACGGTTTCGCAGATCGCAGCCCCACAGGGATGGCGAGCTCCAATCTGAATCTGCGTATGACGTCACTCCGCTGGGCTCCCCAGCAGCCCTCGAAAGTGGTGACAGTTTCGCAGATCGCAGCCCCCCAGGGATGGCGAAGTCTAATCTGAATCTGCGTATGACGTCACTGCGCTGGGCCCCCCAGCAGCCCTCGAGAGTGGTGACAGTTTCGCAGATCGCGGCCCCCTAGGGATGGCGAGGTCTAATGCGAATCTGCGTATGACCCCAATCCGCTGGGTCCCCCAGCAACCCTCGAAAGTGGCGACAGTTTCGCGGATCGCGGCCCCCCAGGGATGGCGAGGTCGAATCTGAATCTGCGTATGACCCCACTCCGCTGGGCCCCCCAGCAGCCCTCGAAAGTGGCGACAGTTTCGCAGATCGCAGCCCCCCAGGGATGGTGAGGTAG